AACCCCAAATGCGCACTTTGCGGGGTTTATTTTTATGTTATATCTCCGCAGTCTATTGAAGAACTTCCTTAGATCTTCTATGTGGTCAGTGGCCTTCTTGGATTTGATAATAACATCAACCACATATACCTCTATCTCCTTGTGTATCATATCATGGAAGATGGTAGTCACGGCTCTCATGTAGGTGGCCCTTGCATTCTTCATGCCGAATGGCATCATCTTGTAACAGTAAACTCCCCATGGCATAATGAAAGCCGTTTTCTCAACATCTTCCTCATCCATCAAGATCTGATGATAACCACTGAAGCAATCTACGAATGACTATAACTCTTGGTTGGCACAATTGTCAATCAGGATGTGTATATTTGGAAAAGGGAAGTCATCTTTCGGACTGGCCCGGTTGAGATCCCGGTAGTCGACACAGACTCTAACCTTCCCATCCTTCTTTGGTACTAGCACAATGTTGGCTAACCATGTCGGGTATTATACTACCCTGAGAACCTTAGTGTTGATCTGCTTGGTGACTTCTTCCTTGATTTTTAAACTTATATCAGGCTTGAACTTTCTAAGCTTTTGCTTTACCGGTGGACACATTGGATCGATTGGCAGTTTGTGAGCCACAATAGACGTACTCAGACTAGTCATGTCACCATACGACCAGGCGAATATGTCCTCATACTCCTTTAGAAATTTTGTGCATTCTTTCTTCTCTGATGGCGATAGGTGAATGCTGATTTGTATTTCCTTGACATTTTCTGCATCTCCCAGGTTGACAATTTTGGTCTCATCCAGGTTGGACTTAGGTATGTTCTCAAAGTTCTCAACTTCTTTGACGATCTCATCGGGTATGTCATCTTCTTCTGAATCCATGTCCGTTTGTTGCGTTGTCTCATTGCATGTCACAGTCATTGGTTCATCAAGATAAGTAATAGTAAGGCTTTATTGGTAAAGAAAGAAGAGAAAACAATAGCAATAACTATTAATTCATAAGAAAAATCAAAATGCTTTTGATAGATTGAGTAACGTTTTTGAACATCCAAGATCTTATTGCGGGAATTGAAAAATGTGAAGAGAAAATCATTTAGTAAATAAAACAGTGAATAATGCTTATATTAGGCTTGCTAACTCGAGGCTCGTCAGGCTTTAGTTGTCCTGATGGTCCAATTTTTGAGATGTGTTCCTCTGTTCACAACCTGTATGAAAGGGCCTTCCTCCCACTCCTCCTTGAGAATAATGCAACAGTCCATATCACTATCCTCTAGAAACAAGTTCTTCACTGTTGCAAGTGCTTCTTCTTCATCTGACCCATAAATAATGTCAGCTTGTTGGAAGGTCTGCTTCAGATGCAGTATTGGTTGCTCTAGTGGGTAGTAAGGATCGCGCCATGGTGGCAACCAGTTATTGAATTCTTCCCAGGTGTATTCATATCTCAAACCGAAGGTAGTGCCATGTTTCTTGAGTTTTATGGGTTTAGAGATTCCATGGAGGCTCTTGCCGAGCCTTTTGCCGGGTTCATACCCACTCCAACTCAGTATACTCTCGATTTTGCTATTCCACCATTTGTCTTTGTCGATAGAATTGACCCGCTCAATATGGTGGTAAGTTTCTCCACCCAGCTTCCTTCTTCCCTTGATTGTCGGAATGGTCTGGCGACTGTATATAGGGTTGTTATCGTGGCCATGAATGATCATTTCCTGGTGATTCCATTCAAACATCACTGCTTGATGCAGGGTTGATGCTACGGCCCCAGCGGAATGAATCCATGGTCGTCTCAGCAGCAAGTTGTAAGATGCCGGTACATTTATTACCTGGAAATCGACCTCGAACCAGGTTAGTCCCATCTGCAGGCAAAGGCTAATCTCACCAATGGTGGACCTCTGAGAACCATTGAAGGTTTTCACATTGATTGCTCCATCTTTTATCTCATGCAGCCCTTTACCCAACTTCTTGAGTATTACCAGCAAACAAATGTTAAGGCTGGTACCGCCATCGATCAGGATTCTGGTGATGAAATAATCTTCGCATTGCATGGTGAAGTGCAGTGCTCTGTTGTTCCCCAACCCTTCAAGTGGTAGCGCGTCTTCATAAAAGGTGATATTATGGCTTTCCAACACTTGTCCTACCATATTAGCCACTTCCCCGCTAGTGATGTTACTTGGTACGTACGCTTCATTTAGCACCTTTAACAAAGCATTATTGTGCATCTCAGAATTTTTGCAGCAAATAGAGAATGGATATTTGCGCTGGCGTCTTGTTTAACTGGTCGATGACCGAATATTCCTTGGCCTATATTTTCCTAGAAAGGTCGTCCGGACCTGTCTCAATGAGGGGCGACTGATTGGAGGCCTGCTTGCTTGTTTCAGCCAGATGTTCAGGGTATACACTCTACCAGTTCTTGTCATACCATGTGCTGCGACAGTTTTTTCAATCCTGACCTTGCCCTTCCTTCTTGCCTCGGTTGTATAGTCCCAGGGTACAGCATTTGTATAGACATTGCCACTAGAATCGGCGCGACTATCCTCACTTCGAATGGAACATGTGACTTGGGTGGCAAGACTGCAACCTCAAATGGTGCGGGAGCATTTGCCGGAGACACGAATTCAACCTCAATTGGTGCCGGTGCCTTTGCGAATGGAGCTGCTACAAACTCAAGAGTTATAGACATATTCACCTCAGCATTCTCAAACGGTTGGATTTGGACTATGATTGGATTGAGAGTAATTGTTGGTTTCTTTAGGTCATCACCTTCTGAGATCAACCCGATTGATCCCTTGGGATCCCAGTCATCTTTTACTTCGATCATGTGGATACCTCCACCCTTATGGTCTGGCAGAGGGTTGTTGCAGACGTTCGAAGCGTATTCCTTTGCCACAATGATCTTGTTATCAATCAAAGACTGTATCTTGTCTTTCAAGGAGTAGCATTCATCGATGGTGTGCCCTTTCATGCCAGAGTACTATGGACAGGACTTGTTTGGGTTAACCCACTGAGAAGGATTCTCAGGGGTTGCAGCAGGGATGGGGGTGACATATCTAGCATCTTTGACTTCTCATACAGGTGGTCGATGGGTTCAACGATGGTTGTATATTGTTTTGGAGGTCTGCGATCAAAATTAGGTCGGGGTCTAGGGAAATTTTTGGATGCAGGGGGTGATTGATAATAGGATGGTTGAGCATTATAAGTTTGGTAGACATGAGCGGGTTGGGAGTATCTGGGTGAAGTAGGTTGATATGTAGGAGTTGGAGATGACTGATAAGTTGGTGGCGGAGCTTGGTATGAGGGTGCTTGGTAATTTGGGGTTGGCTGGTATGCGAGTGGAGGTGTTGGGTAAGCTTGGTATTTAAGGGGAGACTTGGTCCTTTGTGCAACCATCACGGGCCCTACGTCCCTTTTCTTGGACACACCACCGGACTGTAAAGCATTATTAGTAGCTTGCAAGGCTTCAAAATTTGTAACCATACCACTTTTAATACCTTCTTCAATTCTTTCACCTAATTTGATAATGTTGGAGAACTTGTAGTTCTCAATGATCATCAGTCGTTCATAGTACTGAGGGTCCTGAGCCCGGACAAAGAACTTGTTCATTTGCTCCTCTTATAAGGTAGGTCTAACCTTAGCATCTTCGAACCTCCAGCGAGTAGCATACTCGTGAAACGTCTCTATGGGCTTCTTCTTCAAATTCTGGATAGAGAACACGTCTGGTGCATTCTCTATATTAAACCTGAATCGGTCCATAATGTCAGATGTCATGCCTACCCAGCTTGACCACTTCTTGGGATCTTGGCTGATCTACCAAGATAATGCATCTCCCTTTAAACTCCTCATGAACAACTTCATGCGTATCCTTTCATCCTTCCCTACTCCAACCATCTTGTCACAATATGTTCTCAGATGGACCTTTGGATCACCCGTACCATCAAACATTTTGAACTTAGGAGGTTTTTACCCCTCAAGCAGTTCGACATCAGGATGTATGCAAAGGTCCTCATAGTTTAGCTTCTCGATTCCTTTGCTTCCCTCAACGCCCTGAATCCGGATGGTCAGTTTCTTAAGTTCCTCGGCCAAGTTCCTAATAAGCAGATCCTGTTCGAGGACTCAGGTATGCCTGAGATAGGTTGGGTGAAGTGTGGCTGGTCTCCACATTAATAGGAGTGTTATGGTGGCCTGGTGTATAGGTGTGGAAATGGTCGTTTGTGGAGTTCTGAGGTTCTGGGATGAGTAGCGGAGTGTCGTTTGGGGTATGGCAGGTGTTACATTGGTTCTTTGGTGGAGCAATGTGATGATGAGGAGCGGGATGATTCTGTTGTTTTGGGATATTTTGAGGAGCTGTAGGTGTCACACCCCTTTTTTACAACCTCACTAACCCTCATAAAAATAATAAAATGATTTGTAAAGCTCAAACAAGGGTTTTTAATTAAAAAGTGGCAAAATTGTGTTCAAAAGGATTTACTCAGAGTCGCCACCTGACATTTATTTTCAGTGTGTCAAGTCAACGTTTTTTAAAAATGATTTTCCTTTTAAAATACTTTGGACTCCAAAACTAAGTCTACACCAGAGATTCAGGTAAGGGGTTCATTTGACTCAGGGAGAAGGTGTTAGGCATTCCCCGAGTCCCGTAACTAGTACGGTTGCGTACATGATCAAGTTGGCTTTAAAGAATACTCAAATTGAGGTAGAAAAACACAAAAGAAAATAAACAATAAAAAGAGGCGCGAGGTCGTCCCCACCTAATAAAAATAAAATAAAAATAAAATACTACATGTTCTACTTAGCCCCTAATTACATAATACTACGGGGCATACCCCAGATAAAAATATATATAAACACTTCGGGGCATTCTCATGATGCATTAATTGACTAAAGGGGATGACCTCTCACCTCAAAAGAAATTAAAAAGAAACTAAAGCATGAGTGTCCTAAAGGTTTGTGTCACGACCCTAAACCCGAACCCGGTCGTGATGGTACCTCTCGTGAAGAAAAGGCCAGCCAAATAAACCCAATTCACTTTTTAAACAGTTAAATAACATAAAAGCAGTCTAGAACATGATATAGCAATACTAAGTAGCGAATAATGCCAATAAAGTGTGGAAGTACAACCCAACACAGCCCTAACCGGGGTGTCACAAGTCACGAGCATCTATGAGCTATAATACAAGTCTGCTGAAGTCATAAACTACCACAAATGTTTGAGAAGGAACAAAAGTGCTAGAGGAGTAGAGACACGGGGCTGCGGACGTCAACAACTACCTCGTAATCTCCGAAAGTCCCGCCTGGAACTGGAGGAAATCAGCACTCCGGAGCTGAACCAACAGCGCATGAATCTACACACATGGGTGTAGGGAGTGAAGTTAGTACTCCAACTCAACGAGTAACAAAGGTAAATAATGACTGAAAGTAAGAAAACACGTAAGGCACAAGGCATTCTAAAATGAAGCAGTAAAATCACTTAAAACCAGTAAAACCACTTTCAACCAGTAAATAGGTAATTGACAGATAATTAAGATAAAGTAAACAAATAGAAGTTTGCCCATCGGGCACAATATCAACAAATCCACCCCTCGAGCAACATCTCAAAATAGTATCAGCCCCTCGGGCAATCACATAGAACAATACTGGCCCCTCGGGCTCAATCTCACATCATAATGGGTACCCGCGCTCACTGGGGATGTACAGACTCCTGGAGGGGCCCCTTACGACCCAAGCGCAATAACAAGTCATCTCATGGCATCAAATCTAGGCCCTCGACCTCATATCAATCAAGCCACCTCGTGGCGTATATATATCTCAGGCCCTCAACCTTAAATCAGTATCAGTGTTTCCTCACAATATATATGCCCTCGGTCTTACTCAGTCAAAAATCATCACAAGCCTCTCGGACAATAGTAAAATAGTGTTTCGCAGTGCAAGCATAGTTTAAAATATCATTTAAGTCTTAAAACTGAGTAAGCATGGCTGAGTATGAAAACAGTGGGAAATAACATGACTGAGCTCAAGTAATAAGTAAAAATAGTGAAGAAAATCAATAAATAGCCCCGAAGGGTTCAAATAGTAGGCTCTAGGCCCAAATATGGCATTCAGCCCAAATAATGATGATAACAAATAGTTTTAAGTCAATTACATGGTAAAATCATCAACCGGGACGGACCAAGTCACAATCTCCAATAGTACACGATCCCACGCTCGTCATCAAGCGTGTGTCTCACCTCAACATAGCACTATAATGTGCAATCCCGGGTTTCAAACCCTCAGAACATCATTTACAATCATTACTCACCTCGAACCGGCTAAATCTCTAGATCGTGATGCCTTTGCCCATCGAATCGGCCTCCACACGCGTCGAATCTATCCAAAATCAGAATGAGGACGTTAAAATATGCTAAGGGAACAAAGCCCAAGCGAAAACAATCAATAAAGGGCACAAATCCCGAAATTAGCAAAACCCGAGCCCCGGGACCACTTTTTGAAACTCATAAATTTTAACATCATTAGATTTCTTATCTCCCCACGAGTTCATACATGTCAAAAGTTCTCAAATCCGACCCCAAACGGTCCTCCAAATCCCCAATCAAAAGTCCAATTTCTCAAGCCCTAGTTCTTCAATTTTAGGCTTAGTTTTCATGATTTTCTAGGTAGATTTCACAATAGAATCAAGTTTTAAGTCCAAAATTCTTATCTCCAAACGTTTCCCCTTGAATCCCTCTTTAATCTCCTTCAAAAAGCTCTAAAACGATCAACTATGGAGGAAAATAGACCCACATTCGCGGACAAAACGACCTTTTAAATATTCTGTCTAGGCCTGGAAATCCCTCTTCGCGAACACGGTCAAAGTCTCGCGTTCGCGAAGCACAAACTTATTTTGACCAAATTTCCTTCTACGTGATCGCGACCAAGCCCTTGCAAACATGATGCTTCACCCAGGCGACCTTTAGCGAACGCGCTCCATCTCCCGGGAACGCGAAGATCAACTTGACTTCAAACCCAGCTGACCCAGTTCTTCTACGTGATCGTGAACACCTTCTCGCGAACGCGATGCACAGCCTTGCAGCCCTTCGTGAATGCGTCATCTGCCTCGCGAATGCGAAGGCTAAACCTTCACCTCCCTCAGCATACTCTTCGCGAACGTGAGGGTCCTCCAGCGAACGCAAAGACCAAAAATGTCTGCAACTGCTGGAACAGTTTTTCTGCAATTTTCCAAACTCCAAAATGGTCCGATTGACCACCCGAAACTCACTTGAGGCTCCCGGGACCTCAACCAAAAGCACCAAAATATCCTAAAACCTTATTCAAACTTGTTCCAATCATCAAAACACCTCAAAAAATATCAAATCACCCAAAACACATCGGATTCAAGCCTAAGTTTATAAACCTTCCGAAATACGCTTTTGATCAAAAACCCAACCAAACCGCGTCCAAATGACCTAAAATTTTGAAAACACATCCCAAATGACATAACGAAGCTACTACAACTCTCAGAATTCCATTCCGATTCCTATATCAAAATCTTGCCTATCAACCGGAAATCGCCAAAATATCAACTTCGCCAATTCAAGCCTAAATCTACTACGGACCTCTAAAATTCATTCCGATCGCGTTCCTAAGCCACAAATCACCTCCCAAAGCTAACTGAACCATCAGAACTCACATCCGAGCCCTCTAACACATAAGTCAACATCCGGTTGATTTTTTCAAGTAAAATCACTCTAAAGAGACTAAGTGTCTCAAACCTTACCAAATCCTTTCCAAACTCGATCTGACCCAACCCGATACCACATATCACGAATAATTAAAGAATAGCAAAGTAGAAATTGGGAAAACAGAGCGGTAACTCATGAGATAGCTGGTCGGGTCGTCACAGTTTGCCTACCAAAGTGTTGATTGCCTAAACATACTACTAGCGATTAAATTAGTAACACAAAATAAAGAATTGACAAAAAACTTTCACAACTCAAATTGTTGTAATTTCTAGTTCTCTTCTATGACTATCTATGTTTCTAAAATTCTTTCACGAAGCCATGCTTATTCTCAATTGTACAATACGTCCAAAATACTCTCCAAAACAGAATGTTTCTACTAGTAATCCCATGATAGCAAATTCCTATTTAGCTTTTAATCCAACATCCCCAAAACTAATTCACATACAAATCATATCGTTCATACAACTAAGTAAATTAATAAACTAACTAATATGTGTTTGTTCCCAAATACCGCATCAATGACATTAATGAAAATTTTAATATAAATGAACCAACCTAAGAAAACAAATAACGAAACAAGCAGAACAATCACAATCGTTGAAGCCTAATAACGATGAAAGGAAGAGGAAATTCAAAATTAGATTAAGAAATTGACCTCAAAGATTGATAGCCTTTCCCATTATAGTAGCGATATATGAGTGCAAACTTGGACTGAAAAACCTCGATGGCGAAGGGAACCCGAACACGGATCGGAATCTCGGACTCAACCGGGGCAGCATCTCTTCGAATTCCACCAAATCTTTGCAAGGAATGGAGCATAAAGATGAGAGATTGTGTACTTTTGGATACTGGTTGATGAAGTATTTTTAGGCAGTGTTGGGTTCGATTTTTTCTTTGTTGGTTTTGATTTACTAAACTTAAAGAGGAAGCAAAAGCACTTAAAAATCAAAGTGTTAGATTTATGAAGTTTTCTGTTGCTCTCTCCATGTCCTCACTCTATTTCCATTTTTTTCTTTTGTTTGGAATCCAAGCCCTCCTCTGTTTCTGCGTACTGTTCATGTGTGCATGGTCTCCGGTTTCCATCCAGTACTAATGGTGAGGGAGCGGCGGCTGTGGTGGTTGGGGTTGGTACGGCTTATGGTTCAGGGGTGTTCTCTCGGGTTAGATTTTAAGTTGTAATTAGGTAGATATATGTGGGTGGGGATTAGTTTTGACCATTGAATGAAAGAGACTGAATGGCTAGGATAAAACTAAAAAGATCTGATGGGTTAAAGGGTTTTGGGCTTCATATTTGGGTCTAAAATTGGACTAAAAGAAAAATGTCCAAACTTTAGCTAAATACCTTTTAATATAAGCTAAATCTACTACATATTGCAAAAATCTATCTGAATAATTAAACTAAATTATATATAAAATATGAAACTATTTTTCAAATGTCAAACTAAAATAATAAAAAGATTAGATTAAAATCATCGCAAATCGAGATAATACTACTACCCAAAACACTAATATCCTTGAAAATAAAGTGTAACTATTTTTTGTATTTTTGAATTTTATGTAAGGTAGATAAACTAAAAGTAACAAGATAAAATATCAATAACCTAAATAAAAGATAATATTTTTGTAATTATTATTTTTATGACAAAATAAAGTAAAATAGTTAAAACTAGGTAAAATAGCGATATTAGGCCTAAACTAAATATCTAAAAGCTAAAATGAGTAAAAACTCGGGGAGGGTCAAAAATTACATGTCTACAGCTGCCCCTCTTTGACTGAAAACACGAAGAGTTTTCAGACAAAGAACGACAAGACAGTTTTTTGACCCGACCCTTATTTAGAGAGACCAAAAACTAAGAGAAATGAAGAGAATGTGGCTGAGCCCTGGTATATGAGCTGCCTACATATCCTTGGCAATAAAGGAATCGGGCCACGTGTAGTTCAGAAGTGAATGAGGTGATGGAGTATACTGAGGCAGAGAGCCGATCGAGGTGCCGTTCTGTCGAGGTTCCGGTCCGCGGTCCTGTTATTACATCAAAATCAAAAATGAAAAAGACTAACTAAGCCTGTCAACTATGAGTTACAAGATTCCTATCTATAAGTCTTCTGAAGCTTGATCTTGAGTCTTGAATGGTTCTCGCAGACTTTAGATTTGAACCTTGACGCTTGCTAGTTGCAAGTGCTAGTTCATTCTTCTTTAGCTTTTGGGATCAAAACCGGACACACCGTGCTTGTGACTTAATCATGTCTTGAGCAATCCACCTCTTGTCTCAGCTTCTGCATTTTGGATTCACTTCCTTTTTCTTTTCTTTATATATATTCTGAATTGCGACTAACTTCTGTTGATCATCTTAGACTGTTGACTCGCATTCTTCCCGCGAACTTCTGCTACTTCTAACTTGAATTGGATTCTAAAATGACTTCCCTTGTTCTCCAAGTGGGCGCCTGATTGCTAAAACTTGAACTATATTCCTTTGTTCTTCAGGTGGGTGCCTGATTGCCAAAACTTGAACTGTATTCCCTTGTTCTCCAAGTGGGCGCCCGATTGCCAAAAACATGAACTATATTACCTTGTTTTTCATGTGGGCGCCTGATTGCCAAAACTTGAAATAATTCTAAAATGAATTCCCTCATTCTCCAGGTGGGTGCCTGCAATCAAAATAACAAAACAAACAAAATTTTCTGCCCCAGTTTGCACTGGGAAGATTTGTGAATTGTTAGCAAAACTGTAAATCACAAATGCTATTGAGGCAATGATGAAAGTAAAAATAAAGACTTGATTGGACGTGCGTTTCTTGTGAATCAAACCGAGAATATTTGACTAGCAAGTGTGTCTTCTAAGAATAGAACCTGAAAGACCCAGACTAGGAAGTGTGTTTCCTAGATTTAAGATTGAGCTTGCGGAAAACTATAAACTAAGCTTGACAAAAGTAAAAACTGACCCTATTCTCCAGGCGGGACCACTTATTTCAAGAAAACTAAAGATTAATAACTTAAGAAAACTAAAGACCTATCCTAGGAGAAAATTCATCAGACTAGGTTTCCTATCATAGGAGAAAAATTCATCAAACTAAGATTTCGATCCTAGGAGAAAATTCATCAGACTAGGTCTCTTATCTTAGGAGAAAGATTCATCAGACAATGATTTTGATCCTAGGAGAAAGTTTATCAAACTAGGTCTCTTTTTGTTATCTTAGGAGAAAGATTCATCAGACTAAGATTTTGATCCATAGAGAAAGTTCATCAGATTAGGTCTCTTTTTGTTATCTCTGAAGAAAGATTCATCAGACTAAGATTTCGATCCTAGGAGAAAATTCATTAGACTAGGTTTCTTATCATAGGAGAAAGATTCATCAGACTAAGATTTTGATCTTAGGAGAAAGTTCATCAGATTGGGTCTTCTATCTTAGGAGAAAGATTCATCAGACTAAAATTTTTATCCTAGGAGAAAATTCATCAGACTAGGTATTTTTATTTTTTATATTTTTTTGGGTATCTTAGGAGAAAGATTCATAAGACTAAGATTTTGATCCTAGGAAAAAATTCATTAGACTAGGTCTTCTATCTTAGGAGAAAAATTCATCAGACTAAGATTTTGATCCTAGGAGAAAGTTCATCAGACTAGGTCCATTTTTGTTATCTTAGAAGAATAGTTCATCAGACTAAGATTTCGATCCTACGAGAAAATTCATCATACTAGGTCTCTTATCTTTGGAGAAAGATTCATCAGACTAAGATTTTGATCCTAGGAGAAAATTCATCAGACTAGGTTTTCTATCTTAGGAGAAAAATTCATCAGACTAAGATTTTGATCCTAGGAGAAAGTTCATCAGACTAGGTCCCCTTTTTGTTATCTTAGGAGAAAGATCCATCAGACTAAAATTTTCTATCCTAGGAGAAAATTCATCAGACTAGGTTTCTTATCTTAGGAGAAAGATTTATTAGACTAAGATTTTCATCCTAGGAGAAAATTCATCAGACTAGGTTTTCTATCTTAGGAGAAAAATTCATTAGACTATGATTTTGATCCTAGGAAAAAGTTCATCAGACTAGGTCCCTTTTTTGTTATCTTAGGAGAAAGATTCATCAAACTAAGATTTTCTATCCTAGGAGAAAATTCATCAGACTAGGTTTCTTATCTTAGGAGAAAGATTCATCAGACTAAGATTTTGATCCTAGGAGAAAATTCATCAAACTAGGCTTTCTATCTTAGGAGAAAGCTTCATCAGACTAAGATTTGATTAGTAGGAAAATCCACTAGACTAGGACCTTTATCCTAGGAGAGAAAAAGTAAAGAGCAATGACAACATTTTATGCACACTAACAAGACAAATAAAGGCAAAGATTAGAGAAACTTCCATTTGTCGGCTCTTCTTCTCCTTTTTTTTTGAACAAACTTGTTTGCACTGTTTTGTTCTTGTTTCAAACAAACAAAACTTGTGAGTTTAAATGTGGTGGTTAGTTTGTGTCCTTGACCTTGAAGGCAACTACTTCTGAACTTGCCAAGATAACTTTGACATCAACTTGGACGACCTTCACTATTATCTACTACCCATTTTTTTTCAACCCTTATCACAAAAAAACACCTCCGCTCCATTCGATCTCAATATCCTCAATCTGTTGCATTTTCTCATGAGTTGACATTTAACGAACCCTTGCATTTCACATAAATCCCAAAGCATGTTGATTGTTACTAACTCAGTGCGCATACCACTTTTCCCTGACTTATGCCACTTTGATGTGATAGCCAAATTCGTTTTGTGCAATTGGAAAGCTGGTAGTAAATTTTGAAGTCATTTCTCACTTGTTCTGACCAAACAGAGTCATGAAGGGACTCAAACAAAACAAGTGGAACAAAATAAGGGACAATGGAAAGAGATGATACCTAACAAGAAAATTACAAAGTAGAAACTTATCAGATGTGGATACAAACTCTAATGACCATGACATGCACCTTTGAATTAAGTGGCCTAATCTCTCTAATTTTCAACTCTTGTTCTACCTCTTCGCTGTGAAACTGGACTTCAACATTTCAATTGTCCCATCTGATCCACAATCCCTAGTCGACTTGTAGTGCCCTGAAGGGTTTTCACCATCAAGTCTCTCTCATTTTTTGCTCTTTTTCTCAACTCACTGTCGCCTTACGGTGCCCATGAGGGTTTTCACCGACAAGACTCTTTCATTTTATCATTTTCTCTCTTTGTGCTGAGAATAAGATATTACCCATGATACAAGAAGATCAGACTTTTACCACACACTTTATTTGACATCCTTAAAGATTGGTCGGAAGGTCTTTCTTTGGACTGTAATGTAGGCTTTTGGATAGGATTAGAAAGAAAGGGTGTCATGAAGGCTCAAAATAATTTAAGATGAAAGGGTTCAAAATTACAACTTTTAGAATGAGGACTTTTGGCAAAATTTAAAACTTCTGCCCCAGTTCTTGGAGTTTGGGGAATTTTTTTTTTGTTTTGATGAGATTTCTAAGAAAATCGCCCCACTCTTGATTTCAGGGGATTATAAAATATTTTATTTAGTGCGACCAAACCGTAAGGCTGCCTACGTATCTTGTGGTGACAAGAATCAGGTCGAACGTAGTTCAAACACAAAGTTGGACTATTTTGTTGTTTTCTTTTCCTTTTTTTCCTTCTTTTTTTTTCTTTTCTCTTTTTTTTTTCCTTTTCTCCTTTTTCTCTTTTTCTTTTCTTTTCTAGTTCCTAACCCTGCTTCTGATTCCAAAAGAGGGGTATGAAACAAAACAAATTAAGGTTCAAAAGGGGTAGCAAAAGATAAAAGTGTTTGGGTAGCAGAATAAAATGCATTTGTCATACCAAGATTTAAGAATGCCAAGTACAAACATGCAATTGAAGATAAGCAAAGAAATCATACATAGTATCTATTGATGGCATCAACACAAACAAAAAGTGCCAATGGGCAATACCTTTGTCCCAATGAATGATCCTGGCCAATTCGAAGCAGACTTAACTCAACCTTATCTTGATGTGGAAGAATGCATTTCAGCGCTGACTGATCTACCTCAAATTGCTTGGGAGACATTCCCTTGTTGTATGCTCTCATCAATCTCTTGATTTTCCAGACTAACTACCTTAGTTTCACTCAATTCAAGCTTCAGGTTATCTCAGAATGTGTGAATCTTTACTTGTTTCCTTAAATGCATCTTTT